TATATATAATACTATAAAACACAGTGTGTATCTGTCTGTCTGTCTCTTGGTCATGCACTGATGTCATAGCAATTTATTACGTAATTTAAGTAGTTTGGCTTCCTGTCAATTAGAAGCGAGTAGTCTACGATTGATCGAAAATTAAAGATATATTTGGTCTAAAATGTACAAAAATTGTACCTTCTTCGCAATTTGAAAACGTTAAATCGTCAAGTTACGCCAGAAAGGACGTAACACATTAAAAGCTTATCAAAGTTTTAAAAAAGGTCTAATGTTAACTCGTAGAATAATATTAGAAGATTATATATTGATAGTATTAAGTGCAGTAAGGTTTAGTCCTAACTGAACTAAAGCAAAAAACGTACGCTAGTTATAATATCAATTTACCTCTTTATCGTATATAGGCCGTACTTAATTAAGGCTTAAATACTGTTAGGACTAAGACAAGTGGACTTATAGATTTCAGTGTCTGTGATCAGAATTATTTTGTATTACTCTAGAAATCCTGTATTTAAACAAGTCTGTTGCAATAAAGATACTGATTTGGCCGCAAATGTTTTGCGGGTCTCTGTTAGTACATAAAACAAGCATTAAGAAGTTTTTCGCAAAATTCATTGTAAATCTCAGTCGTCACCGTAAGGTCATAACGGATATTGTCTGTGGTAATAGCATCCAAATGCGTTGGGGATATTCAAATCTACCAGACAAAATCCAAACGCTGATGTTAAACTAACCAGTAATAATGGAAACTCAATTAAGGGTATGGAGTTTAGTGCTTACACTCACAACGTCTCAACTGCTACTGCCTTTCACTGTCTGCAGCCAGTTGTGGGAAGGCAGTTACCCTTAAAAGTTCTTATAATTCCTAAAGTAGAAATGAAATGAATGGAGAAACCAGCAATAACGTTTAATATGTTAGTAATGTCTATCTTATACCGTAACACAGACAATAGAGAAACCAGCCATAACGTGTTATATATTAGTAATGTCTGTCTTATACTGTTACACTGGCAATAGAGAAACCAGTAATAACGTTTAATATGTTAGTAATGTCTGTCTTATACTGTTACACAGCCAATAGAGGAACCAGCCATAACGTGTTATATATTAGTAATGTCTGTCTTATACTGTTACACAGCCAATAGAGGAACCAGCCATAACGTGTTATATGCTAGCAATGTCTGTCTAATACTGTTACACAGCCAATAGAGGAACCAGCCATAACGTGTTATATATTAGTAATGTCTGTCTTATACTGTTACACAGCCAATAGAGGAACCAGCCATAACGTTTTATATGCTAGCAATGTCTGTCTAATACTGTTACACTGCCAATAGAGAAACCAGCAATAACGTTCTATATATTAGTAATGTCTGTCTTATATTCTTACCCAGCGAATAGAGAAATCAGCCATAACGTTTTATATATTAGTAATGTCTGTCTTATATTCTTACACAGCCAATAGAGAAATCAGCCATAACGTTTTATATATATTAACAATCTCTGTCTTATACTCTTACATAGCCAATAGAGAAACCAGCCATAACGTTTTATATATTAGTAATGTCTGTCTTATATTCTTACACAGCCAATAGAGGAACCAGCCATAACGTGTTATATATTAGTAATGTCTGTCTTATACTGTTATACTGCCAATAGAGAAACCAGCAATAACGTTTTATATATTAGTAATGTCTGTCTTATATTCTTACCCAGCGAATAGAGAAATCAGCCATAACGTTTTATGTTAGTAATGTCTGTCTTATATTCTTACACAGCCAATAGAGAAACCAGCCATAACGTTTTATCTAT